ATGAGCCAAAAAGCAGAGACAGGACCAATTGTCAAAATTTTGGTGTCGATCATTTGATTTCATCCTGGACACTACAGAAAATGGGCTAAAAGTGTTAAAAACCGGAATTCTCCTTTAAATACCTTTGTGATGGTGACTTCTTAAGATCTCAATGTATTTCGTATCTATTAGATAACACAGTAATTTGTAGTTCTTTGAGTCTACAGCAGTTTATTTCCTGTTTGGGGAAAGGGGTCCTGAAAAAAAATCAGCAGTTTTCCAGCTGTTGCCACCAGTTGTAATGATGTAATAACGTAAAATCAAGGGCCCAATGTAAAGGAAAAAAAGTTTCCCTTTAAATTGTCTTTTATAATTGTTACATTGTGCTTTGTAGACGATGCCACTAAAAAAGAAAACAGACATAAGGAGCTATTTAAACAGTCAGACAGTAAGCTATGATGATAAAAGGTTGTGTTACCTTTAATCCTTTACTATTTAAAACCCACTTGTATGATAGAAACATTATATGATTGTAGGAAACACAGATATAATGATGCAGGGCAGCCTCAGGGTGAAGCAGCTGCCCTTCAGTGCTGTATTATGGAAGAAGTGTGTTTGAAATGTTACCATAAAATTAGGGCTTCAACTAATTATTATTTTGCAAATTGAAACGTTTCCTCTTGAGGAGTTCTGGATGGAGAATATTGACAGACAAAAACTTTTTTTTATTTTAAATGCAAAACGTTGCTCTAGTGAGTTGCTCTGTCGGCTAAAGGCACATTTTAGTGGCCCTATACTCTAGTTAATGATTAATCAATTACTAAATTAGTTGACGATTATTTTAATAATCCATTAATATTATTAATTGTGTCAGCCCTAGATAAAATACATAAAATGGGCTACACAGTGTAACTACAGCCCAGATGTACAACTTGTAAAGTGAAGTTAATATTTTAAATGCTTAGTGTCGGCTCCTCTTATAGTTCCAGTGCACATGTAAATACAATACATTTATTTGCCTTCCCTTGAATGTATTATTTTGCATGATACAGAGTGAGCATATTGGATAAAAAAATAATACCGTATTTTCACGACTATAAGGCGCACTTAAACAAAAAAAAGTCTTTTTTTTCCCTCAAAATGTGCGGTGCGCCCTATGGTGCGGTGCGCCCTATGTGTGTTGTAACTGCGACTTTTGAGACCACCTCATTGAGGAGATGATGAAAGAGTGGCTGAATGTNCAGTTGTGTCCTGTTCAGCCACAGGTCGACCTGCTCCCACTGTAACACTGACTGTTCTACAGCAGAACCTCAGCTTCTCCCACTACAACAGCAGCAGTGTGACCCACAGCAACGGTACAGTCACCGTCACCACCACAGCTCTGCTGTCAGCTTCCAGCAGCACACAGGTTGGATGTTCAGTGTCAGTGCTCTTTGCTGCTCCCAGAAAGAAGCTGATCACTGTTCCTGGAGTTAAAGGAAAATCTGATGATGGTCAAAGAGCATCATCTGATAGTGAGTATTCATGTTCATGTACTCTTTAAACCTTCCCAGCTTAGCTGAGGAAGATTTTAACAGGACATCATATTCACAAAAATCCCTTGAAACACAGAGGTAGCAGCATCATGCTGTAGGAATGATTTAATTTCAGATGGGACAAGAAAGCTGTTAATTGTAAGCTAAATGGACCTAGAAAAAAAAGGTTAGAGGCTTAATAAGACGTTAGATTAAGAGGCTGATGTTCCAACAGTTTAACAAATTTAAAGCTGCAGCCAGAGCTGCAAGATCCATTCAGTTCAATTAGGATAATTTTTATTTTATGTTATTTTGAGTGACTCTTTAAACCTTCCCAGCTTAACTGAGGAAGATTTTGACAGGACATCTGAGTTGTTAACAGAAGGAAATGTGATTGAAAAGTGTTTCAATTCTCAAATCCTAAGAAGATGAGGCAGGGGGCATTTGTGTGTGTGTGTGTGGGGGGGGGGGTTCAGTTGTGTCCTGTTCAGCCACAGGTCGACCTGCTCCCACTGTAACACTGACTGTTCTACAGCAGAACCTCAGCTTCCTCTTTTTTTTGGAAATATGATTTAGCTCGTTTCTGCGCAGACTTACCAAGTGTTGTTTCTTTTCAGGTTATCAGTCACAGATTATTCTCATCATCGCAGCTCTACTTATCATTATCTGCATTGCTGGTGTTATAGTTTTGATCCTTCACAAAAGGTGAGACATTTCACTTCCAATAGGCAGACATTCTATTTATAGTTACGGTATATAATGGTTCACATGCATGACACTTCTGTTTTCTTTTTAGGAGTTCAAAGAGAAGAAGCAACAATGATACTAAAGTTTGATCCGCTTTAAGGAGCAGAGCATTCCAGCATTACATCAGTCTCTGGGACTGTTGCACCAGTGATGTGAATAAGCTAAGAGCAGCTGCTTTCCATCCAGTCACCGGATGTTGGACAATACACTGAATTTAACCTGCATTAGATCACATTTCTCTGAAACTGCATCACTTTGCACTTGAACTTGTTTACTTGTTTTGTTGAATGTAAAAAAAAAATTACATCATGAATATGATACAATGACAGAAGCTTTGGGAGGAAAGAGAGGAATATCTGCTCTGCAAAAGGAATCTAAGGTTGGTGATGTTGTGTTGGACATGGATGAGCAGCTACCCAGAGGTGAATGGAAGCTTGCCAGA